GCAACTGTTAGAAAGTTTTTCTTACATCAACCTTGAACCTCTCATCCAGCAACGTCTTCTCTTTAGTCGGAGTTCAGTACAGCACAGAAAAGGTTTCCCTTCTTCCATCTGGCAGTGTTCCATATATTTAACCAGAGCCACCATGCTCCACTTTCTCCACCCCTCTGTGGGCTGAACTCTAGGCCCCTGCCATGACGTGCTCACGTTCCTCACCATAGGGGTAACTGGCATGAGCAAGGCAGAGAGGACTCTCTTGATGGCAGGACTCTTTCAGTGAAAGGAATTGAGCGGCACTTTTTAGCAGTCATATCCCACTGAGGCTCACCCTGAATTTATGGTCAACTAATAGCCTTTGACTTGGTCTGGCCAAGTTTTTCCATTACTGCTTTGCTGCAATGATCATTAAAACAACTGCACCAAAACCACTTAGTCCACTGGGATGTATGTGTCTCTCTTGTCAAATTTCATCCTACTGATTTGGGACCCTCACAGAGCCAAAGATACTTTTGGATCTCAAGTCTGTCATTTGCTATAATACATCTTCATTTCGCGTCACTAATAATGCTGATTAGGCCAGGGCTAGTGACAAGAGTACTGAGAGGCCCCTGGCTCCCTTCTTCTGGGTCCCCCAACCATTAATCAACACTCTGCTGGCTCAAGATCATAAGACAGTGGACTGACTACAGATCTACTCAACTGTGCTTCTGCCTATGACTTCTAGATGGGGTCTATCGGTGGCGATTGCCTTGTGTACCAGTGTAGTTAGCGATCTTATCACACAATGGACTTATTTGTTAAGGGTCATGGGATTAAGGCAGAAGGAAATCTGCCATCTTGTGGGCTTGGGGCTGGCTTGAAATGGAAACCAAGAGGTGCTGGAGCACATCATCACTAGGTCACACATGGTCATCACTTGGAGAGAACACGATACCTTACTGCCACGTATAATCCATTTAGTGAAAATGAGGGTCATGTGCTAGGCATGCCATTTTATTGCGCAGTCAGGAGCAGGTACAAACACCTGGATAGAAAGTTTCTAAAAGAAAATTTCTGACCAAGACAGGCAGATTCTCTGAGAAACTGCTTTCTCCCAGAAAGTATTGGGGAGTTTAGAAGGAAAAAGTTTTTTGAACATCACCTTCTGTATTTCAAGAAAATTACCATTTATTTCTGGAATCTAATAAAAACTAGTGATGCAAATTATATTTTTGCCAGTAAATATTTTAATTTTCCTAAGAAGGTAGCACCTGCATATACATTTTAAAAGACCCTCCCAGCTCCTTAGAAGAAAACTCAGGCTCCTACTGAGAATTTTTCCTGCCAAGGGTGCAAGCTTGCCATCTAGTGGTGACTCCTGCCAATTAAAGGCGGTTGATCTCAGTAGGACGGTTTTGGTGGTTTGGTTTGTTTTTTAAAAAGCAAAATGTCTCTTTTAGTTATATACTATCTCACTCACACACACACGCACGCACGCACACGCACACACACACACACACACTGTGCATAAGTACGCTAGGGAAACACTGCACTTCCCCCACTCAGTGGCATTTAGACTGAGGCCCATGTGAGCCCTCAGTGTAATGAATGAGTTGAAGAATGGCTTGGATCTGTCATGTTGGGTCTGTCCTCTAGTCTATGAAGAAGTGTCACTCATTTACTCACTCTTTCATCTCATCCACCCTCTCATCCCACTGGTCACTCATCCGTATGATCATTAAGCTCCAGGCCTGACAGAGCAAAAAGAACCGTGTAAGATCATTGGCCTGATTAACTTGTGACAACAAAAACAAAAGAACACAAACAAGACAAAAACTTAGAAGTGATACAATAATAAAATTATAGGGGGTATTTATATTGGGTCAATACCCAGTTTTCACACCATCTGTGTCTAGATACATCATTGTAAATCAAATCATGTTTTCTCATTAAAAGACCTTGACCTGACAAATACTTAGACTTGAATAGATCGATATAGATTCTTAAGGCCAAGCTACAACATTTTTATATAGTTCTATAAGAATTTAAAAATAAAAAATTCTGGAAGTTCTACATATATGATACTATATAAAATGAAATCTATAGCTGAATTAGACACTTAAAAACAATACTTTGTTAGTTATAACAAACATTAAACACTAAACTGGCAAAAATCTTGTTAGCAACCCAACAATTTAGGCTTTTTTGAGGTCCCTTAATAAAAGAGTAATGCAAAGTGTGTAGTGAGGCCTTTTTATTTATTTGGTAAATTTATTTATTTGGTAGTAAGAAAATGGACTCTAAATCTTCACACGAAATTTGTCATAGCATTTTTCAAACATAGTCTCCAGCTCTACATTTTGTGAGGAGATGGCAAATCCATGCACAGGTAAATCGTAAAATTTTAAAAGCAGTATCAAAAAAGATGCAAGATGATTTTGCAACATACAATTTGTTGTGAAACAGTTTTATTTTTAGGAATAATTTAATTTTTATTACAAATAAAAGAGGAATAAAAAGGAAGGAAGCTAATAGTCCATGTTATCTCTTTATCTTCATAAAATCCCCCTAAAGGAGGCTCAAAGGAGTTAGGAAACTTGTTCAAGGTCATAAGACCAGCCACTGGAAGAGTGAAGCACTTGGTTTTGAACTTTGGTCCATCTGACTATAAATCCTTGGGATGTGAATGTGCCTCCCATGACAATTCTCTCTGATTTCCACATAAAGGTCAACAGAATGTGAAATTAACAGAAGTCTCAAGTTCAATTAGTGATGTCGTCCTAATTCTGCTCAACTTCTTCTATTCTTCTACCTATTTTATACTATAATAGATTTATCCCTGCAAAGCTCACCAACCCTTATTACTTCCTGAGAGTAAGAAGTTACTATACTGGAGAGGCAGAATTACTTTAGTTCATATATATATATATTTTAAACCTATGTTGCAAATGATTTCAATGGTGTGTGTATTACACATTCTCACATTAGAAGAGAAAGGGAAAAAAAAGTGAACGTTTTTCTTTTTGGGTAATTTAAAAAGTAAAATATGTTAGAACGAGCACAGTATTTTCAAAGTGTCCTGCAAATTATAATTTTAGAAAAACTACCCTGCTAAGTAATCACGTATGGCATTTAACAGAAATAGATAATGCTCTGGTGAGAAGCAAGTGGACAATGTCACGCAAAACCAAACCGCAAAGTGGAGGGGAGGAAACTAAATTTTAATTTTCAATCACTGAACTTCGGGGTTTAGAGAAGTTTTGAAACAAAGGCCAATTGTGAGTCTGTTCCCACAAGACGATCCTACATAATTCAGGACATAGGAATAATGAATGCAGACAAGAGAAAATTGCTGCAGGTTATGGAGGCAACTATGCAGAAGAGAATGTTCAGGCTACTGCAGAGATGTGGAATTTGAGGAGCAATTAAGTCAGAACTCGGTCGCTTGACCTCAGCTGCCTTCATTAGCCAGTAGCTCCAAGTTTATGAACATAATTACAGCGAACTAACTGCTTGTGTATTTATTTCTTGAATGCCTATTTTTCCTACTTGAATGTCAACTCCATGAAGGCATCTGTCTCTCTGTTCCCTGGCACAACCTGGCACAGAGCCAGCACGCAATAAATCTCCCTAATGCACAGCTTTGTGTCGTCTAGTGGTTAAAATCTTGGGCTCTGTAGTAGGACAGAGCTAAATTGAGATCTTAATTCTTCCACATGTGAGTTATAATGGCTTTGCACAGGTCTTTCAACTTCTAGGCACTCAGTTTCCTTACCTGTGAAATGGGACAGTAATAGAACCTACCCCATATAGCTGTTGTGAGGATTAAACGGGATCATGAGTGTAAAGCGCAGGGCGAGCACATGGATGGGTCGCCATCTTAGCAGACTTCATCAGCCCTTCTTGTGCCGTAAGAGTTGGGTTGCTCATCTGCTTCTCGACTTGGAAGCTCATTTGGGTCATGTGGGGGAGCTTGTTTCAAGGAAGATCTGTACCCTGTCACCAGTCACCAGATTCTGATTTGCTAGGGCTGCAGGGAGGCTCAGAAATTTGCATTTTTAACAGGCATCTGGGAGTAGTTCAGATTCAGGGAGTCTTTAGACCACCCTTGGAGAAACACTTCTTTTGAAAGAGAATCCTCAATTCCCGGATTTCTGAAGAGATGGACAAACTAATAGTAATATATAATACGTGACTCTTGGGCCTGGGTAACGAAAGTAAAAGAAGAACTAGCATCTTGGGGTGGGGGTGGGGGCGAAAATGAATACATTTCATTAAAATTCCAGCCTGGATAGCCAGCAAAATTTATGTTACTCCCATATTCACCAGTGACAGTTCCCCGAATGCCCAGTCTCTGTCTCCTCAATTCTTTCCAATACTGTCCCCTTCACAACTGGATTAGGAAAGGATCCTCATTTGCTTGGGTAAAGAACTCCTAGTGTTTCCCCAGAGACATGGAGTTCAGGAAAAGTAAAACAAATAGTCGTAAAGGGGGATAGGATGTCTCTGATTTTTAAAATCAGTCTTGTGATTATTTTTAAGCTGAAGGGCTGGTGTCTTTAAAACTCATGACTTATTGTCTTACCTTTTAGATCATATTATGGAAAAGTAAATTTGGGAGACTAAGGGCTTCCTTTTTTTTTTTTTCCCCAAGTAAAAACTTTTAACATCAAAGTGCTGTAGATAAATAAACATTCACGTAAATGTTCCTCATGACTATCTTGGTCTAGCCCAAGGTCTTAACCACAGCCTTAGATTTCCCAAGCTCTATTCCCCCAACCCTGTCTCAGGTTTTTATTTGCTAATAATTAGTCAAGTACTCCTAATGGCACATTAACCCATACAGATATACTTAAAAGGTTCGTTTTCAGCTAGTCACTCAAGTCCAGCTGGAAACTAGCCTTTAAAGTATGTTTCTTTTCAAAAAAGAAAGAAAAGGAAATAGGAAAGAAAAAAAAAGAAACATTCATATGCACTCATGAGTGCTTGGAACTCAAGATGCCTGAGGTTCGAATTCCTCTTACCAGTAGGTTCTCTGGCTTGATGTCCCGGTGGACGATGTTCAGGCTATGCAGGTATTTGATGGCACTGGCCAGGTTGTAGAGCATCCCACTGGCATCTCGCTCCGTGTATTTGTTGGTTGAAGTAATAGCATCAAAGAGGTCTCCTCCCTGAGAAGAGACAGCAGGTGGAGCAGCAATTAGCAGATGGTCCAGTGGGGCCACCTGGAGAGACAACTGACACATTCTCAAGGAGACGAAGAAGCATGCAGGATCTCTGGGCTCCCAGGGCTTTCCCTGCCACTTCCCTCTCAAAGGCCCAGCAACTCCACCTGGGGATTTGTCTCCCCGCTGTGCAAGCCAGGGGCATGTCCTCCATGGCTCAAAGGAGCGGGACGAGATTCTCCGCCACTGGGACATGCAGTCATATCCGCAGCCCCAGCCAGGAGGGAGAGACAGAGCCAGGTCTGGTGGGTGCCCTGGTGGCATGTGTGTCATGCCTCATCCCAACGGCCAGCAGAAGTTCAAAGTCACAACCCCAACCCTCCCAAAATGAGAAACAGGTAATCCTGCAGACCACACCCTTAACAAAATGTGCAGCTGCCTTATGAAGCTCACACATACACACACACACACACACACACACACACACACACACACACTCACTCAGTTCCCTTCATTCTCTAGACTCTGCTTTCTTGGAGTGGGTGTAGTAGTGTTTTCTTTTCCAATAATGTGCTTCTTTGTAAGAAGCAGAGAAAAGGGACCAGAAACTGTCATTCCAAAGATGAGGGAGAAAAGAGAGGAGGGAGGAGGGTGGAGGAATTTCCAAGAAAGTTTTCTAAGACCATTATTCATCTGAACTTTTGTTTCCCTTGTTCCTTGCTAACTTATTGTTATTTGGAGAAACAGAATGATTTTAGGCTCCAATTTTAGTTCTCTTTATTGGAAACCCTTTCAGAAATTTGGGTCTGATTTACTAAGGACGTTTGCATCGTTCTTGCACACAATGCACCAAATAGCTGAGCACGGGAGTCAATTGTGTTCATCTGTTGCCTAATGTGGTGAGGGATTTCATTTTTGTTTTTTTAAATAGCAAAAGCAAAATACAGGCCTTGCGGGCTGACAGTTTTCGAATCTCACTAAGCTGGCCTGTCCTCCGTTGCCCTGCACCACCTCCGCCCGGGAGGCTTCTCCCTCAGCCCATTCAGCCTTGGCAGGTCCCAACCTGAACACATACAGGAGCGTCAAAATGAGCGCCTTCTCCGCTTTCTGTTTCTCTCAAAGGCAAGGCTGCCCGAGGGTTCCGTGCCTCCCCAGGAGGCAGCATTTTCACTGTGGTCTACAGGAGCAGCACCCCGATGCAGCGGGACGGGTGTGCGGCTATGTGTGGCGACCCACAATGATGCCACCTTTGTCCTAGTTGTCTAGGTAGGTGCCAGGCATCCTGTGACCTCACGTCTTCCGCATCCCCAACAACGCAGTCAACCAGTCCTTCCTGTAAGGCGGGTAAGGCGTGCCACGTACACAGCCAGTCCGCTCCATCTGCTGGGTAAAAGGTTTTGTTGTGCTGTCCCCGGGTGGTTCTCATGAGGCCTCGCAACCTGCACTGCTTCTGGCCTCTTTATTTACAGCATCCAGCGAATGGACTGTTACCTTCCCGCATGGGCTGTTGGCCTTTTCCTTCTCCCTTCAAGAAGTCGGCATTCCTTTCCCATGGCTCTCCGTGTCGGGGTGCCCCTCTTCATTCCAACCTGTCTCGATGCATCTCCTGCCACTCGCTAGACCCGGGAGTAGCCTTTATGCTCCAGGTAGGAGATTCTTCCCCCATCACTAAAATGTGCCAAAACCACCCTGCGTTCCAGACCTGTCCTCCCGAGAGCCCCCTTCCTGGAAGGTCCCTTCGAGGGTCTTTGTCTTTATAACTCCTGCTGATCAGTTAGGGCCCGGCCGCAGGGCCGCCTCCTGCACAAGGCCTGCATTCCTCTGAACACATATGCAGTGTGTATGTGCACACATCTGTAGGCAGAAGTCCAAAGGCCTATTCTTATTAATTATGGAATTTCACTCGTAATTACTATTACTTCACTGTTTTCCAGAATCCAGGCCTTGTTTATCCTACAGCTGCAGGCCCTCTTTGGCACACCACTGGACTCTTGAGAAGCGTGGCCCTAGCTACATTTGTTAGGGGGAAATGTTGTGGGAGCCTTTCAAGTCAAGCCTGGGGTTCGCCTTCACTTCCTGGGATGCTTCCAGACCTGGCCTCACAGCAGTTCTGGGTCAGCCTAAATTTAAGGGTATGATCTGGCAGTACAACGGATGAGTCCTGATGCTGGACCATGCAGACACTCTCTGGCCTTGTTAGGCTATCTTGGTCACCCAGAGGGAATGCTGAATGAAGTGAGGACCTCCCAGTGGTAACTTAGCTATTGTCACCTGACTAAACTTAAGAGTGACAGACTAGGCTTTCCCACCACAATGTGCTCTGAACTCTTAAGGCTTTGCCTCTTTCATTTCTCAGCTTCAGGTTTAAGTTAGTCTTAACTCTTCAAAAATCAGCCAATAAAAGGGGGCTAATCAATTTTTAATAGCACTCAGAGGGGCAAGAGAAATGGTCTGAATTTGTTGCTCTCAAAATTAAAGTCATTGTAAAAATCTTATCCTGGGTGCTGGAGAAAGTATATTTTACAATATTGGTAATTACCAAACTTTATTTGGCCATAAAGCACCAATGTAAAAATCTTCCGAATAACTGAAATCAACCTTTCTTTGTTGAAATAACAAGTTTGCCATTTTTTATCTCCCTTGGTCTCAAATGTGACAATACCCTAGCGTCACTACAAACAAACAAGTCTCACCCCTCTGAAAAAGACAAATCTTAACACGAAGCAGGAAAAAGCAGGCTTCATCTGTAAATATAAATAACCACTAAAAAAAAAAAAAAAGCCAACAGATCTAAAGTAAAGCAACTCTGAATAATAAAAGCTTAAAGGACCCTCGAATGAACAGTTTTCTATATAGTAACAGATTCGTTTATTACATGCTGTCTTTGTCTTAAATCTTTACAGAGGAAATGCCACATTCCAGAGTGCTGATTCCTGCCACCAGCTGGGGCGTGTGATTCCAGACATGGTTCCTGGAGCCCGAGGCTCTCACCGATGGGTGCACACAGTTGATGCAGAGGGTGGTGTGACTAATTTACGACATTTTACAACTAAAGGAGAAATTAGTTACACCTTCAGTTATATTAACATAATAGAAAAAAGGCTTGAGAAAAATAGCACTTCATAAATACTAAATATTAAATTTGTAAAACCTTTTAGTTACTGAAAATTTTAAATATGGAAGTAGAGGGAATGGGCAAGTCAGCTTTAACTTAGATTCAACGATTATCAACATATGGCCATCTCTATATTCTATGATCTAATAAAATACAGATGTAATTTTATGTGACAGGACGAGGTTGTAACATCTACTGAAAGGCAGCAGAATATTTTCTAGTGCTATTTTTCTATTACATTGGTAACTAAAAGTTTAAAGTTTTTTTTTTTTTTAATAAGAATGGTTGATACCTTTGGATGTAGTTCACGAAAAAGTGCACAATTTCTACAGCAATGATAACAGCAATGATCATTTCTGTCATACTTTCTGTGTATTAGAAAGTACATTAGTGGGGGCGCCTGGGGGGCTCAGTCAATTAAAGCGTCCGGCTCTTGATTTGGCTCCGGTCACGATCTCAGGGCCGTGAGATCGAGCCCCACATTGGGCACCATGCTCAGCAGGGAGTCTGCTTCTCTTCCTCTCCCTCTCTCTCTGCCCCTCCCCCTCCTTAAAAAAAAAGTACACGGTGGAAGTCATCCCTCTTGCCTTCCCCATAACACTCCTGGTAGGTAATATTATTATTCTCATTTTATATTTGAGGAAACTGAGGTACAGAAAGGTATACCCAAGCTCAGAAACTATATAGGTCAAGGCTGGGACTTGAATGCTTCCAGTATAATTCTAGTGTTAATACTCGTACCCATTATGCCAATACATAGAAATGAGAGACTAAATATTGGTGGAAGGAAATAAAGGAGACGGCTCTATCAGATAGGAAAGTGTGGTGCCTTGTGTGGGTTTATTCTTTTTCCAAGATACACACCTTTACTAATTCCATGACAAGATACAGTTCCGTTGGCACATCCATCTCTTCGATCAGAAGAACAATATTGGGATGCTTCACTCTTCTTAAAATAGACACCTCGTTCTGGATCATGTGCTCCTGTTTAAGGGAAGAGTTACCTTAATCAATATACACATCAAAACATATGAGGAGCTAACTCCAATGAGTGAAGCTATCCTATTTGAGGATCAAAGGAGATATGTTTTGGTAAAATATAATGAGTATATCTTAGATTCTGATACTCAGTCTAGAATTGCCAAAAGATACTGAAGATCCTCAGATGACGCTTGCAACCTATCAGTATAACTATAATCGCATATAGAAGGATAGAATGAAACTTAGATCACAAAAGTAAATTAAGAAGCAAGCAAACAATAATAAGGAACAGAAATAACATATAATCATTCCAATTAACTTTTATTCCAAGAATATTTATAAAATTATATTCCAATAAATATATAACATTGTATTCCACCAAAATGCAACTCCTGGGATGAACTTATGTTTATTTGGGAACTGATCTGTGTGTTTCTACCTCCCCACCCCCACAACACTATATTTTCATAACAATAAGCCTTTTACATACTTTGCCTCGACATTTGCTTTTCTTGATAATTTTCAGAGCATACTCCCTAGCGGTTGACCTGCAAAGAGAAAGTTATTTGTAAAAAATAAACTTAATTTCAAATCTGTTGAGTCATTTTGCTAAGGATTAATTTCTTACCCCCAGACCTTGCATCAAACTGGTATAAATATTTTGTAAAAGACTCTTTTTCCTTTTTACAAAGAAATATGTAAACCTTAAGGGGTTGACCAAGTGTAAGGATGACAACTATGCTAGCATAGAAACATCCTGAGCTGTTTTTTTTGAAGATTTTATTTATTTGTAAGACAGAGCACAAGCAGGGGGAGCGGCAGGCAGAGGGAGAAGCAGACTCTGCTGAGCAGGGAGCCTGATATGGGACTGGATCCCAGGACCCTGGAATCATAACCTGAGCCAAAGACAGATGCTTAACTGCTTGAGCCATCCAGATGCCCCATCCTGAGCTATTTAATGTTATACTTGTGATAAAACCACCACTACTGGGGTGCCTGGGTGGCTCAGTCAGTTAAGCATTCTGACTCTTAAAAAAAAATAAAATAAAATGAAAGCGTTCTGACTCTTGATTTTGGCTCAGGTCATGATCTCAGGGTCCTGGGATGGAGCCTCATGTCAGGCTCTGAGCTCAGTGAGGAGTCTGCTTCAGGACTGTCTCTCTCCCTCTCCCTCTGCCCCTCCCCCCAGCATGCTCTCTCTCTCTCTCTCAAACAAATAAATCTTAAAAAAAAAACCCAAAAGCCAGGGCTCTAGAGTTCTTGAGGATTCTCCTTCATATACAGCCCAGCCAACACTGCCCTTCCTCTGTGATGGGTGTGGGAGGGAGGGTTTAGTCATATAGCTACCTTTATTTATTTATTTATTTTTTTTTTAAGATTTTATTTATTTATTCATGAGAGACAGAGGAGGAGAGAGAGAGAGAGAGAGAGAAGCAGAGGGAGAAGCAGGCTCCCAAGGAGCAGGGAGCCTGATGCGGGACTCGATCCCAGGACCCTGGGATCATGACCTGAGCCGAAGGCAGACGCTTAACCATCTGAGCCACCCAGGCGCCCCATATAGCTACCTTTAAATAGCTTCCTAACTTGTGTTAATATTTCTAAGATAGTATAGTGCCAAAAAGGACAGCTCTATTGTCGAAGGACGTATATTTAATAATCATAAGAAACCACTATTTCACAAGCATTTCCACTTCATTTCTGGTGGGGAACCAAAACAGCTTAGCTTTTTACCCATCGATAAAAGCCAACGTTAGGGATCCAAATGAATACAGTGGGAGTGGGGTTGATTAGGAACAAAAGTTTAAAATAGGGTTTTAACATCTTCAGTATGGAGAATCAAAGGGGGGGATTTCCTAGTTATGTGTTTAGAGCAAGAGTGATCTGCCCATAAATTCAGAGGCCAGAGGGGCGCCTGGGTGGCTCAGTTGGTTAAGCGACTGCCTTCGGCTCAGGTCATGATCCTGGAGTCCCAGGATCCAGTCCCACATCGGGCTCCCTGCTCGGCAGGGAGTCTGCTTCTCCCTCTGACCCTCTCCCCTCTCATACTCTCTCTCTATCTCATTCTCTCTCTCAAATAAATAAATCTTAAAAAAAATAATTAAGAGGCCAGATACTAGCAGGGTGTCCCGAGGGCATGTTAGATACCATTTCATGTCATTTGCTAAAACGGCTTCTCCCACTCGACTTCCAGGCCCCTGTGTGTTAGATAAATGGGAGAGTGAAGTTACACACATGCAAGGAGAGTCCTCACATTATAGAAGGACCACAGGGTCCCTTTAAGTGGTCTCTTCTTAAGAGGCTTCTGAAGAGTTTGCAAATTTGAAAACCCTTAGGCAAGAGGAAAACTAAACGCTGAAGGATTTCTGGATTCTGCTTTTCATGAATCACTAAGAAAACTAAAATAAAACAAATCTGAGATTCAAATCCATGACCCCTTTCCTATCTGGTTTAAAATGTTTCATGTGATGACAGAGAAAACTAAACTATTGGACTGACCGCTGTGATCAAAGCCAGCGATCCCAGGCAGGACCAAGGAGCTGGGATGGAGGTGACACTCCACACTGTGCTTCCACAAAGGGGACGGATGATGGGATGGTATTGGTGAGAAGGGGGATTTCTTAGTTTTGTCATTCCCCATGTTGCCATTTGATCCTCTTGTTTCCCTGGAATAAGTAACATTACAGGACTCAAAGCAAAGGGATGGCGTGGGACCGGGAAGACTGAGCCCCCCAAGAACCAGAAGGGCAAGGAGCAGAATCTCCAAGGAGCAAGTGGGTGTGTCGGCTGCCAGGACACCAGGCAAACTAGGTTATGCCCTGAGCCTCGGGCTGAAGGGAAAATGTGAGCAAGCCTGGGCTGCAGTGGCCTCAGGGCTTACTAGGAAAACGGACTTTATGGGTTCCGTACCCAGAACCTTACCTAATTACACTCAGTTAGATTGACCCGTATTTTATATCAGACAGAGAGACCTGCAGAGGACCACCAAAATTAATACCGCAAGTTTTCTTTCTTGATTCCTTGAGGGCAGAACTATAAAGTTATGATATAATCCTCAATTATTGGAAGTATATGTTTATAGGAAAGCAGCTGAGTCTGGAAAATAAGCCTGAAAACAGGTGTTAGTACTAAATGTATTTCATAAGAATAAAAATTTAACTTCTTGCTTTAAGTTGGTAAAGGAAAACACTTGGCAAGAAATAAAACCTTAAACAAAGTATTTGCCTTCCTGTGTACCCAAACTCCGAGGACCTCTGTGCCCGTGTACTTACGCAGCGAGTGGTTATGAGCATGGTTCTTTGGTGGCTACAGAGGTGAGCAAAACCCGGGCATTTCAGACACAGGTAAGCAAAACCTGGTCCTTGAACCCAAGGCATCTACAGCTGGTTGTGGTGAGAATACTAGACACCGGGATTGCTGGTGAAACTACAGGCCATTTGCTTGTTTGTTCCTGAAATGACATTCTTGACCTTGCACGAAATCACGGAGCCTTGAATGCTGCGGTAAAGGCAGCAGCAGTGGCTGGACAAACTGTTTGCTTTTTCCCTCCTATATGGGAACTCAATTTGTAAGGTCCCCTTCCTATTAAGTTTAACCCAAGGTTAGAGCCTGAACTATTAAGAGAGAAATTCAAATTTTACAAATTTGAACTAAATCCAATTTTTAGTATTTGTGCTAAAAATACAATGGTTTGGAGAAAGTTGTCTTGTTTAAACTTAGTGATTCTCAGCCCAGGGCCAATCTGCTCCCCACCCTCCTCCCTCACCCTGGGATGGGGGCTGTGGGGAGGGCAGCAGAATGCTTATCGATTGGGATGCCCTGGACTAACGTGCTTTTTGTTGTTGCTGTTATGGAAGGTTTGCTAGGTTTTCAAAGTACTAAGAAAATTTGTGTGGAAAAGGAAAAACAGCTTCCCAGGCATTCCCATAGTAGCATGTGATGAATTTCACGGCCATCCTTCCATTATGGGTTTGGTTCTCAAGCGGAGGGACTGGGGTCTTGTCCCTCTCTGTAGCCCCGTATGAGTCCAGGGTATGGCCTGAGCTAGCAAGGACTCCAAGCATGTTGGTTGAGTTGTGAAGATTCCAGATGGTGGCAGTTGGGACCCCTCAACAAAGAGGAATTAGTAAACACCGCCGTTCGTTTGCTACATAATCGTAATAAAGCCCATCTCAGCCTCCTCCTAAGGGGGTAATTATGGAGAGCAGAGAACTGGGGCATCCCAGAGTGTCTGGTCAGACATCTCCGGAGTAGAGTTTGATTTTGAATTTGAGCGCAAGCCCAGTGTCAGAGCATCCTCAGGAAGGAAAGAAGGAAGAAAGAGCATGGCCGACTAGCTGAGACTCAGCTCAGCTTCGTCCTGACTCACCCGCCAAATCACACTTCGGAAGGAAATGCCTTCCAACCACAGGTCTGAGGTTTTGGAGGTTCTTGAGAATTCTGAAGACTTTCTAGGTAGATGCAACCCGGTTTTGTGGCCCTGAAGTTTTAACCCGTTCAGATGTTCGGATGGGTTTGAGCCCACCTACACTCACTGCTCAAGCCCACAGTTTCCTTGAGCAGTTCCTCGGGTTTAAAAGCGAGGGAGGGAGGGAGGGAGGGAGGGAATCAGGAGCAGCTAGAATTTTAACACAATTCTGCTGCATACATTGCTAAAAAAGGCAGTGCAGGTGAAGAGGAGGGCCAAGAGCCATGGGAGACACTGTCACTGCCCCTAACTGCGCTGCTGGTACCCTTGGCTTGTATGCTAATTAGTCCTTAAAGAGCCAGGAAAGCCAAAGACCCCTCATTGCCAGCCCTCTACTCATGCTCTGACCTCTCAATAGTGCTTTTGAGCTCTCGTTCTCTTTGGGGCCTCAGGTAGTCTATAAAACAGCTTCGGAATAGAGCAAGTCTCAGTTCACCCACTTCCTTTGGCATGTCCTAGCGGCTCCTGAGGCCACTGGAGAAATGCCTACTGGGGAAGAGGCAGAAATCGAAATGGACCCGGTAGCCACTACCAAAGGATATGCTGGGACAGGACCGTGGAACAAAAGGCCTATGCGACACTATTATTGCATCCATTGTTGTAGGAAGACCTTCCCTGGGATGGTATCTTCTTAACAGAGGAGGGACACACTTGCTCTTGTTAAGACATATGTATCCTTCAAAATACGGCAGGATGTACCCACAAGCAATGTGTGCCATTCACAACATGCTCAGCTCGTTTTTATTTTCCTGGACCTCTGGAAAATATTAAAAGAATGTTCCATGATGCCTCCAGGGAGAGAGGGCACATGCCATATGTCCTCCTTCAGCAGGAGCGGAATACTAACACTTGGTGGAGAAATCTGGTGTGTAGACTCGGAAGGTTCGTATGATGAAACCCAAGATGTGAACACATGCAAAATGAACACAATCCAAACCGGAAAGAAAGACATTAATTCTGGACGGAGACATGAGACATTTCCATTGTGGGAAGACAAGTAACTGTTGGGTGAAGCCGCCCTCGTGATCCCTGTGCTAGCGAGGAGAGACAGCACATAGCTGCCATGCCAGTCTCAACAGATGACGCACACTGGCAGATCACCAGATACCCCACGTAGGAAGGGCATGGCAATCTGCTCAAAATGGGATTTTTTGCTACAGTGGAAAAAAAGGTAAAAAGAGTTGAATTTACTATCAGTAAAAGTATAAGTGAAATATAAAATTATATAAACACACATACACACACACATCCATCCATTGCCTTAAGACTGGCTTTCCTGATTTAATTTCTATCTTTTTTGTATGGGGACAAATGCGGTGTATGTCACTTTAGATCAGCTAAGCTACATTCTCCTGAGAGACTCTTTGTTGGCGGCAATAGAATGGTCAAAAGTGTGGGTGTTGGACCCAGGTCTTTCTAAGTACCTACTAGCTGAGCAACCTTGGGCATTTAACTTCTTAAGGCAAATCTTTGTCTGCTATAAAATGGAGACAATATTGACATTATGGGATCATGATGACAATTACATGAACTATCGTAAGGGCTTTGCATATAGTTGACGCTCAGGAAACAGTGGTTGTTCCTGTTTCTGGAGGTGTGAGGCCTAGGAAAGTAATGGAGAATTTTCTGTATTTGGCAGTGATGCAACAAACCGCCAAACTCTGGTGGCAGTGGGGTGATTGAGGGACAGAGAGGAGAAAAGGTGGCCTCACAGTAACTCCTAAGGGGTTTTTCACACTACCATCCTCAAGCCCGTCCCTCACAAAGACTGGCAGCTACAGTGGCTTGCTGGAACTGGTGGGAATATTCCAGCCCAGCTGCCATGCTGCGGGACGGGGGAGCAGTTTTGAGATTTAATGCCCAAGGGTATCTTCACGAGGGCTCTGCGACCTCAGTCAGGGAGGCATCTTCCTAAGAGTGGCAAAGGGGGCAGGAGAGCAAATCACTGGCCAAACTCAGGACACTAGTGGTGCCTGAGGCCCCGTGTAGGCTTCCAGCTCCAAAGTGGCATGAATCTGCACTTCTAAATCAAAGCTCCTGGAGAAGAACAAGCTCTGGATCTTGTGAGGCTAAAGCTTCTAGTCCAAGGCAGCCTCTCTGAGTGGTAGAGCTGAGCGAAGGAGCATTATTCTCACACAGTGCTGACTAGTAGGCGCCCAGCCTCCCCGGGGGCAGAGAGAAGTGATAAGGAAGCCAGCAGTGAAATCTTCCTCAAGGAAGAAAGCAGGTTGCCCCTGACTTTTCAACGCTCTGCTCACCAGCTCTGAGCAGGAGCTCCTAACCAACCAGGTCCCTGTAGAGCGAGAAGCTGCTCAAGAAGTGAGTCCCAAATCAGACACTGAGCTGAGGGTTTGAGGCCACCTTAATCCGGGCTATGACTTTATTGGTTGTCACTTCATCTAGTAGCCACCGGCCACTGTCCTTGATTAGGTATCAAGATCTCAGGGATAAACGTTTTACTCCAAACCTCGTGCCTTTGGCCCCCAAGAGTACCAAGCTCATTCATTTGAAAACATTTTAATGTATTAAACACTGTTTTTGTTGGGATCAATACCTATGCATTTTAAAGCTTTTCAAGGTTATTATATTTAATTTGATGATAGTATGTTAGACTACACTGTATACAAGAATGTTCTGACCTCTACAAAATGTCTCAGAAAAGCGTCAAAAAAAAAACCATTCAATATGTTTTTTTTTTTTTAACACAATAAAAGGGCTTACCTGAAAGATCTGGCAAAGTTTTGCTGAGTACATTAAAAAGGAAAAATCAAAGTCCTTAATTTATAGATTGTCCCAGGAATCACTACATTTTTCAAATCTGTTGTTAGATGGGCTTTTCTTCTAGAAAAAAATTTTTTTCTACATCTGGAGTTGAGACATTAACCTATTCCATATGTGCCACAGACGGCAAATAAAGACACACTCTTGGAAAACATAATGCCAAGTGTTTCCTTTAAAGTGCGACGCAAATGATACCCTTCTCACCTTTCTACACATTCCTTGACAACAGCAAAATTTCCATCTCCTATTGTCCTTCCGACTTTATATCGTTCTGTTATTGTGGCTGGAATCTGGAAGCCTTCCTCCGACACTTCTGGAAGAATCGTTAGTACATTTTTGTTGGTAGAAAAGGGAACGCAGATGTTGCATCAGAAAGGCATTTAGAAGGATAATCTCATAGACTGGAACCGATTCAGAATCGATATGTCACTTTCCGTACAGTGAGGCAAGCCCCCCGCCTCCTTCCCTGCTGACACTGTATACTCAACAGTTTTTACCAAGACGAATGATAAACCGAAAGGAAACCTAAGACATATGGAGTCCACTTCCACCAATGGGAGGGCGACCAACACTTTCTGTAGCCAAGGAGGAAGTTTCGGTCTTTGTGTTTCATGCCAATTTGAGCTATGGTGTTTATGGAATACCCACTGTCTACAGAGAAATGACATTCCTAGATGTGGCTCAGGAGGAAAATGTAGCTTAGAGGGGACTCTGGGCTGCCTGACACAGTGCAAGCATGAAGCATCCCTGCTGTTTGGACACTTAGCTTTACTGCATCCTGAAATGGAGATCTCCGTAAAATTCCTTATGAACTAAGCCCTGATTGTCCGCCGCCCCCCCCACTCCCCAGTATCAATGAGCAGATTTTAGACAAATGTTCTCACCAGCAACCTGCATAGCAGATGTTGAGTTAAAATGGCAATATTTATTATGTCTGTGAACAGAACAGTTTTGTAGTTTCAATTATGTTAGTGCCACTAACACAACACATTTTCCCCCTTAAAATGCATTTTGAAATATTTTACAAATGCCTAATAATGCTTTAAATATCTAAGGCCATAAAACTAAATAAGCCACACTTAGGTCACATAAATATACTGGATAACCTTTAACATCTTTGGGGTGTAAAAAGCCTTTTATAGCTGGGCTCTAAAATTTACATGCTTTAAAGTTATAAATCCTAGCTCTCCCTCAGGCAACCTGGATACAAAATGGGATGGAAACCTAGTGCGCTTTCTGAATGTGCTCCTATTCTGACCTTTAATCATAAACTGAGACTAAACATTTCTTCTCAAAATAAAATTAAAACCTCAGGTGGTGCCTAGGCTTTCTCGGTGATTTCTGTCTTCTCCATTAGCCTGCAACACTGGCGAACGACAAACGGAAACTCACAATTATCACACATCTGCTTTAGGACCCTTATGTTGGTTCTGTGATCTGCACCACTCTGGGTTCTAGGGTGGATGGAATTTCTGGAAAGGATTGTACAAACGTAGGACATTTGCTGCGTTACTTTTACCCTTGGCATCTGTACAGCCTCTTTACCTCTTTATGGGTGACATTTTAGTCCTCACCCACTAGAAGCTATCACAGTGGTCTCTGGAATAAAGTGACAGCTGCAGCCAGTTAACAGCCACCCCCCCAATCCCCACCGTCTCACACCCAAAGAAGCCAAAAATTTTGCCTCTGTTTGAAAGACTCAGACTGGGAATTTTTATCTACTCCATGGGAATTAGAGGAGATCGTGGAAGAAGTTTCAAATCCATTGCAAAGCACCCAAATTTATAAAACATCTCTCAGATGACACAGTCTTAAGGCTTTTTACTACATGGATAATAAAAATAACCACCGTTGGCTGTCAGAAGCAAGGCTGACTCCAGATGAGAAATGGAAGGAGGTACTTCACCCTTCCTTCCACTGGGGGCATCACTGAGGCACGAATCTGGAGCTCATGGCTTGGAATTTTTTTTTTTTTTCCCCTATTGATAAAATGTATCCTTGAGGCTTTTGGCTAAGAAGGCTGTGCCAAAGTCTTAGCCAAGGACCATTTCATTTCATTAGGTAAATACAACACAGCAGAACAAAAGAGACTACTAGGATGGCTGAATTTCATACTTCTGGAAATTCAAAAAAAAAATCTGATATTGCACAGTAGTCAGGAAAGAATTCATGTGCAAATCACTTATCTCACTTGACATAATAAAAGGTACTTTTTTGGAAAATTAAATCATATCACTTCAAACAAATAAGGGATGCTGATTCTTTAACAGTGGCTTGATCATACCAGTCTTATACTTTTCAGAATACTTTCTCATAATTGATTTGAGCCTGAAAATGAGCCCCAGGGAGGAAGCAGGCATATATTACAATCTTATACAATTTTATAGAAGAGGAACTAAGATGTAGAGAGCTGAAGAGGCTTATCCCAAACAGTCCAATGAGGGGAGTCTGGGTAACTCAGTTGGTTAAGCATCCAACTCTTGATTTCAGCTCAGGTCATGATCTCAGGGTCCTGAGATCGAATCCTACGTCAGGCTTCATGTTGGGGGTGGAGCCTGCTTAAGATTCTCTCCCCCACCCCAACCCTACCCCTTGCTCTCTCTGCCTCTCTAAAAAAAGAAAAAAAAAGAAAGAATGAATGAAAAAACAAAATAAAACCAAAAACAAAACAATTCAATGAGTTAGTGAAAAAGTCAATTCTGGAATCCAGGTCATTTGACCACATCACAGAGAAATTCTAAAATGACCTAACTTAAGGTACAAAGAATATTTTTGCAATTGCCATCAAGTAATTCTTTTTGTAAAGCCATATTTTTCACATATTGAGTTCACTTTAGAGTACATCTGTAGAGCTGTAACAGTCAAGCAAGAGAGTAAATTATCTTTAATATACTGAAAATGAACAGAATTTGGGAAGACAAAGGCAGCAATTACTTCCTGCTGTTTTCAAAGTAGGCAATAGCTGGCCTTCTTAGAATACTTATGCCCTCCGAGGATGTGAAATATCTCCCAATTAGGCTAATTCCCTCTTCCTGTTCCCATAGAGTAGATATGATCCCTGGGGGAAACCATATGCAAACCTATTCCTATGAGCTGCTTTAGGTTTCTATTTCATAATGCTGGAGAAGTTACAGTTTCCTGAAGTAAATTTAGCCAACCCATCCTCTGCCCCCTGTAAAACTTCTCCTCAGACACCAAGTCCCAAGCTCACCACCTTCTCCAGGCCCATCGTTCTCGTCCATTGAGCTGCAGACTTTGGTGGATGCAAGGGAAGTAGAGGAGCCTCCATGTTGAGAGCTCTGTAAGGGAACAGAAACAGAGAATAAAAACACTTGGTCAGAGTGCCAGTCTGAAGATGCTAGGCCCAGCCCAGAATCTTGGGGGATAACTGCACCCACCACCAGGGACGATTTGGTCTTAACACTCAAAAGGGGAGGTTCTTAAGACTATCCAATTAGATTACTTCTCTTTCCCGCCCTATTAACCAATAATAGATGGTTTAACTGTGTCAGGATAATCATTCTAAATTTGCATCTTCCGTGACTCTTTAGTCCTTTTTCTCAAAAATCAGCATCCCTTAGCTCACTGTTTAGGTCTGTCAGATTTTAAGCATCTCACCTCACTTCTCCACAGTCTATCTGCAAACAGGCCTCAAACATGGCGCCACTCTGATCTCATCCAAAATTTTTTCTATTCTTACCATAGGAAAAAAAAATTCTCTTCAGTTTGTTTTATGGAATATCCTAAAAGAAAAATACTGAGGCTTACCACATTCTTGGAGAAAAGTTAAAGAGTGGGTTTGTTAATTCCACTTTGAGATCGAGACACAAGCAACTAAGCAGGTTATCAATATGTTAAACGTTACAAAATAAGGCTGAGGCAAAGACAGGAATTAAAGCCTAAGCCTGGTGATTCCCTTGTATTTTTGGTGTATTTTGACCCAAGACCAATGAGAGCAGACAGGATAACAACTATATGACAAAGCTCAGAGGATGAAACAATACCAAATATTTAGTACTATGATTAGCTACAGGGCAGTACTTTAACAATGAACATTTCCATCTCTGCTTCTATTCCTTGAGAACACAATTTGCATATTTCAATGCTATTTCTAAACAGTGAACACAGCTTGTCCTAAAAGATCTTCCTTCTGTTTCCCTGGGTTTATCCACTCGGTTGGCCTGATGGGAGCGGGAGGCGGTGAGGGGGCAGCATTGGCTCATGGTGCTGGCTGTCTGTGGAGCAGAGAGAAGGGAAAGAGCATCTGTAGTTGAATTGATAATGAAGAGGTGGCGAGAAGCAAAGCTGACCTATTTTTCCTCTGCTTACCTGTTTCCCTTCAACCTCCTCCCCACTCCATCCAGCCTTAACTGTACACAAAGTAGGAAGAGAGAGTTTTATAGATTACCCCCAACAGTATCTTGCATAGAAAAAAGCAAAGATTTTAGTTTTCACCAAAAAGATGAATATCATTGGGAAAATGTTACTTAAATCATTGCAGGGCCATTTGAGTCCACTGCCTGTTTTCCTGGGTGCAGTTAAGATAGGCATGTTCCATTGGACAAGTTCACCAAAGCTGACTGCTGACATTGGGGTGAAAGTTAAATTCACAGCAGGGATGCATCTGCTTCCTTACAGGACATCCTACAAGTTTTGTGGTTACTCTAGTCTACCCCTGAATCACACATAGTTTGTGTGCTGTGTCCTTTCTTTTCCCATATCGTAAGAATCTGCCACCCATCAGTCTGGTGACTTGAGCAGTTCTTTTCATCCTTTCTCATCCAGCCTCCCTTTGAGATGAGCAGCACACATTTACCCTCTCTCAGGCTAGAAAGAGGGATTCCGATTGTGACCTTGAAACAGTTTTATTTTGGAGTGACACTAACTATGCGGTCATAACCAACTCTGTCGAAGGTACTGTAAATGTATGAGCTTCTAAGCCATGCTCTGTTGACTTTTACGGATGTCTGTTTGTGAAAACCTTGTATTTATAATATTGGAACACAAGGCTTAGACAAGGCAGATTTATGATGTCCATGTCTGGAGAAAATAAACATTAACATTACCACATCTGAGGGGAAGGTGTGTGTTTTCCAGAAGGTGAGATCTTTTATCCCCTGTGTGATTGCTTTTGCTGTAGACATAATGTTGTTCCAAGCAGAAAAGCAGTATGTAAATGTCTAAAATGTAGACCTTCTCTTCTGGGCTTTCTGATCCTTGAATTTCTTCCAGCAGCATCACAAGTGGTGTTTAATAATGTAGACACATTGTGGTTTGGGGTGGCAGGTGCTGTCTTGTCATATGGTGTTTTAAATTTTAGAATACAGAGACACATTCTTTCATCAAGCACTAGAATTAATAGATTAGTAGCGTGTTTCCTAGCAAGATGTCCACATTTATGTACTCAATTCCAAAAGCTTGTTCTTTTAATAAGAACATCAGATACTCAGAATAGAACTCTGACCCAGAGTATATGAAGACATCTTTTAAACTGTAATGTTCGATCAACTTACTGGATATTATTCACTAAAGTGCCTTATCAACTAACAAATTGCATTTTCAACAGTGCCACCAAACGTCTGATGCCCTGAATGCTTGCCACAATGTCAGCTGTGTTTTCTCTGCCTTGTGGACAAAAACCCCTCAAGGTTTTAGGCTCTGGTTAAAAAAAAAAAAAAAAAAAAGTAGGATTAACAAAGTTTGCTTACATTTAGAATTGCTTATTTTCAACTTTAGGTTTGCAAATGTACCCCCAAGTAATTTCAAATTTCATGCTGAGGGTAACAGACCATTTCAAGAGAAAAATTTATTTCCTTACAAATAGAGAACAGAGTGGAAAGTAGTCATTTTATTTATTATGCTCAAATAGAGTAAAATAAATGTATTAGATTCCTAATGGTGTTATCTCTTCTTTTTTTCCCAAAGAGGTAAGATAGTTAACATTATACACTTTTCCAAGACAATGATTATTCATGGATTCAAAGAATTTCAGGGATTGGAGTAGACTTTAAATATTACCTTTCACCTTACTTCCATCCAGAGGCCAAATTCCCACTACAAAAGTCCCAGCCATTTAGTCAAATAGCCTCTGTCCAACCACCTCCACTACTGAACACATTATGTCCTGAGGCGGCCCCTTAACTGTTCATATGAGAAAAAGAAAGTTCTTCCTTATGTTAAAAAGATGTCCTTCTACATTTTCCATTTATTGGTCTTAGCTCTCACCTCTGGAGCTACCCAGTGCAGGTCTAATCCACATTTCATATGACAGTGCTTCAGAAATTTGGAATAGCTACTGGACCCCTTCTTCTCTTTTTCAATTTGGATATTCCCAGGTTTTTTTTATTGTTCATCATAGAATAGGACTCCATGACCCTTTAACCACCCTGTGGATACACTCCAGTTCTCAATAACTCTAGTTAATGCGAGGGCTCAAAAGAAATGTAATATTCTAGGTGTACCCTGACCGGCACAGAGCAGAGGATAGAGCTTCTGCCTTACGAATGGAATAGTAATGCACTTAAAAGATTACATGGGCCTAGTGACAGCACCGTAACGTTTTAGCCTAACACTGAGCTCACGGTATGTCAGATCTCCCTAGTCTGTATTTGGGAGTTTGGTGTTTTGGATCGAGTCTAAGACTTCACATTAAATGTCATATTTATTACATTGATATCCTTGCAGACTGTTATTTTTTAGATTCTGCTTTTGTCACCTAATGTTTTTGTCCTCTCTCCCAGTTGAAGTGATTCAGTAATCAACATGGTTCTTTGTGTATACTATTCACTAATCCTAAATATACTAATTTAGACAGTGCTGGAACATACTGATTACTGCCCATAAGTCTGATTGAAGGATTTGGAAAACAGTAAAGGGAAAATGTGTAAATTCTTGCTCTTTAAAATTAACCCAAAGAGATTAATCAGGCTTTATTTATGACCAACAGAAGCTGAAAAGCCCACTTGTATTTTTGCATGCTTACAAGTGAAATCAGTTTGCTTATTTGGTTTTTCTGAACAGATAAACCATTTTATAGTGTATATAATGATAAGATTTTGTGTTTGCTTCAGTTTGCTAATTCTAAGGCATCTGGGTGGTATAGTACAGAACATACAGTTGTTTTAGAATTTAATGCAATTAGGTGCTCTAAAAGACATTGTGACATTTGAAATGTTATCACCTCCAAGCAGATTGAATGGGAACCAGGTGGGCAGGTCGCTCGCACCTGGATGCTTTTATGACACACCTTCATAAAAGTACTGCCCTAAGTAAGAACACATCCTCAGTGTAGCTATTTAGCTTGGGATCATATAACAGATGGAGAACATAGCACACTTTTTGAAGTAAGTGAGAAAGCTGACATAACAGCTCTAACCACATTTTACCAAGATGTAGCTGATGACTATGTAGTTAAAAACAGTTCATTTAAAATATAATGGTACTAGTTACCCCTGCCATTTGTATTAATGGTGTCACTCAACTGAGGACTACACTGAATCAAGTTTTCAAAAATATCCAATTAATCCAACTGATCTACATAAGGTAGAAAAATCTCACCAGATAACTTTAGCTTTGACTGGATAATCATATCACTTCCGCTTCACATTCTGTCTTGGCACACAATTGTTACTTTGTTAATACTGATTTGAAAATTGTAAAAAAAAAAAAAAGAACTTAAAAATCAAGTGGCTGAACTTCAGAAAGGAAACACAACCAGTAAATATTTAACAAACTCAAACTACTGTCTTGGTGATCCTGACTTGAGGTCTACAGAATCTCCAAAGATGACCACCTTTAATAAAAAAAAAAAATTAACATACTCTTGGTGTTGAAAGCTTGAAACCTGGGGATTCTATGTGTGTCTAGAAAAAGCTGCACATTCATTTGTTTTCCAAGTGCATACAGAACAATAAGTTGGTGACATCAATCTGTAATAACTAATAAGGTTATGTGAAACAAGGCAAAGGGAATTCCTTTTTTCAAATTCTTCTGTCTGCATTCTTCATAGCATGTTTAGCCCAAAATACAGTTTATGGTATAGGTAATCACGTGCATAACAAGAATCAATATTGAAAACTGTAAAATATTATCATCAAGATTTGGTCAAAGTTTTTGGAGAATGGTTATTCATGAAATTGGTTTACTCAGAGGAAGGAAAAATGAAAATGGGAATACTGGCATTAAATCGATGTTAGTGAAGCCACCCACGGGAGCCAAGATTTCAAAAATAAATGTATTTAGTTACAACTTTGTTTTATCAGGCAGCCCTCTCGCCTCTTGCGTCCATTCTCTATACTCA